GTCGAAGAAACCATTGCGGCTTGTGTCAAGAAACCATTGCGGCTTATGTGAAGAAACCATTGCGGCTTATGTGAAGGAACCATTGCGGCTTATGTGAAGAAACCATTGTGGCTTGTGTCAAGAAACCATTGCGGCTTATGTGAAGAAACCATTGCGGCTTATGTGAAGGAACCATTGCGGCTTATGTGAAGAAACCATTGCGGCTTATGTGAAGAAACCATTGTGGCTTGTGTCAAGAAACCATTGCGGCTTATGTGAAGAAACCATTGCGGCTTATGTGAAGGAACCATTGCGTTGTCTACCCATCGAAAAAAAAAAGGCTTAGGACTATGTGAAGAAACCATTGCATAATTGCATACGTCTATGTGAATGAGAAAGCACTGCGCTCTACGCGTCGCCTATATGCGTAGGGCGCTTCTACTTATACCCAACAGATTCCTAACTTTTAAATCTTATGATATCTTTAAAATGTTACTATTTTGCAATGGGGGATTCTATACCATTTAAAAAAAGAAAAGGAATAGGTCCAAGGGGTTATTTGGGGTTAGGGGGTTGACACCACGAGTTTACTCCACCGGGCGACACTAACCCTGGTAATTGACCACATTTGACCTCTCTGGCCCCAATCTCCCGTGGTTATAAATTATAAGGGGAAGGGGGCAGGGAGGTATCCAGCTTGGCAACTGCTAGATTCTTCTTCGCGAAAACCACATTCAACCATCATTTCTCTCATACATAAGTGACTAGTTGACCATCATTTCTCTCATACATAAGTGACTAGTTGACCATCATTTCTCTCATACATAAGTGACTAGTTGACCATCATTTCTCTCATACATAAGTGACTAGTTGACCATCATTTCTCTCATACATAAGTGACTAGTTGACCATCATTTCTCTCATACATAAGTGACTAGTTGACCATCATTTCTCTCATACATAAGTGACTAGTTGACCATCATTTCTCTCATACAAAAGTGACTAGTTGACCATCATTTCTCTCATACATAAGTGACTAGTTGACCATCATTTCTCTCATACATAAGTGACTAGTTGACCATCATTTCTCTCATACATAAGTGACTAGTTGACCATCATTTCTCTCATACATAAGTGACTAGTTGACCATCATTTCTCTCATACATAAGTGACTAGTTGACCATCATTTCTCTCATACATAAGTGACTAGTTGACCACATTCTTTTATTATATTTAAGGAATTATTTTTTTTTACAATTTTCTTGAGATCCGCTAATTGCATTTCTTTTTGCTAGCAGTCCATATTTTACAATCTACTTCCGGACAAACTCTACATCACTTCCTTTGTTTTCAAGGTGACGAACTTTCAAGCGCGAAAAATCATATTTTTAACAATGGACTGCACTGATTGCATCGACAAACGCAAAGTCTGAGCATATTCAACTCATTTGAAGTAACATTAAATAACTTAAGATGTTCCTCTTTCAATTATATAAATTAATTTTGATAAAAGAATTATTCAACATCCCTGTTATCAAATGCCTGCTGTTATAAACTAAGTAAGAGATCTCTACTCATTTTCAAACATAAGTGAGACTTTGAAAGTGTTAGGGTTCGTTTTGAAAGCCACAGACGCGGGGGAAAAAAATCTTTTCGCTCTTATACTTAAGTCCTATAGCTAGACTGAACAAGGAAGTGAGTCAAACGTTCTTGATAGATGTAGTTTGACCAAGGGAAAACAGGAAACAATAACAAGCTATCTATAACCAACTCTTGTCTATAAGGTTATTCGTCTTGATCGGCGAGAAAGCAAATGTGTGTGTGTGTTTGGGGTGGGGGGGGGGGGTTAGTTGTTTTTTTTATTGGACCTCTAAAAAAAAAA